GAATTAATAGTTTTAACGCGATTCAGTCCAGGTTATTCCAGACAGTTACATTTATTTTATTGGGCTAGTTCGGTCCGGGTTGGGTAGAATCAGAATAAAAAAATTGTTAAGTACTAACTTAATCTTTATTCCACATTGATAAAAGTAGGATTATTTTTAGAATAAAATCTAAAAAATGTTCTACTGTATAGTGTATAAATAACTGATAATGTTAAAACTTAAAAATATATGCCAACAGTTATTAGTCGTTTGTTTTCATTTCAACAGTCATTGTGAAAAATACTGTATTTTGTGTAGTTAAGTTTATCTGATTATTGATTTAACACATAAGAGCCCTCTACGTGTACCTAAATCACTTAAGGGGTGAAAACACATATTTTTAAAACTATTTTAAAAAAAATTTTAAACGCCGAAACTAAGTTGGAGGTTTTATAATTGTAGTTGCTTTAGTAGTTCTATTTTAACTTATAAAATATTTAATATAAATTAAAGCTGCTTATGAGATAATTTTTTTTAAAGATAATCTATGCGCCTAAAACCGAAGAGTCCAAATTTTTATTTTTTTCCAACAATCTAAATGTTATAACTACAGCTGATATTAGTTGTATATTTCTTTTAGTCGTACTGTTAAATATTACATGTGTAATTAATAGTGATTATTAATTACAACTATAATACTAAGTCTGAAAACAGAACTAATACAGAAAAAATATTCGCTATATCTTATGTAAAGTAGAGTTCTATCTTGCATGCTTGTTTGTTAAAAGACATAGAACAACAAAAAAATGGTTTCATAAAACAACTGGATATCTGAAAAAATATATAAACATTGTAAAAAAACCTCTAATCGCACCTATGACTCATAGGTTATGAGGCAGGTGTTATTGAAATTTGGGTTTCAAATCAGAGGCTAAACGAAAAATAATGTTATATTCAATAAAAATGTAAATTAATTTCATAAATATATTATTTCTGCTGACCCCATAAATATTTTATAAGCATAATAACGAAATAACCCACCCCTCCACTAACAATATTATGGTTTTGCATTTATATAAAAAAATACGCAGTTGGAAAATGTTAAACTTATTGTAATGTGGTTCACAGGCTTTTTATAAAAATATATTTTTTGTAAAACAATCTATGACGCATAATGAAAAAAATATTGAATACTTACAAAATAACAAACGGCAAATATGCATACATTTTAAAAGTTATGCGTGTTTTAATTTAAAAATTTTTTTTTATGTTGTAATATAAACTTTGTCCATATTTTCAAAGAAAATTTAGTTTTTTCATTTTATTAAATAATAATTTTTTCCTAATATCCATTACGCATAACAAAATTAAATTCTAAATAAATAATTATACTTGAAATTAAGTTTATTTTCTTAAAAGGTTTATAATATATAGAGCAACGCCTATTTTACATTATGAATAATTTTCAAAATTGATATCCTAAGAATAGGTACACAAAAAAAAAACAAAGACAAATTCATTCCTTTTTTGTTTTTTTTGTGAGAGCTTTTTTGCTGTTCCAAGCTGTTAATAACGTTGGAAATACAAACATACATGTTTAGATTAAAAAAAAAGTCAAAAGATTTCATAAGCAATAATATTAATAATCACCATTCAATCGAATCTATGGAAATTAGTAGTTAGTCTCAGGCGTCTTCAAATTGAATGGTTCCCTTTTTTTTGGAATAAGTTACTAAATAAGAAAACTGTTTGTTCTGAAATTCTCACGTAACATCCTTTTACGTACTTTCCAATGATTTCAGAAATTACATAGATTTGATAGTTTCCTTGACTGTCCAGAATGACAGCTACTATCAGCCGATAAACCGTATGGTACGTTATTATTGTGTTCCATTCAATTTTAAGTAAAATTTACCATGACACAACTGTGACTTAACCCTACTATGCTCTGTCCCTACTATGCCTCAAACCCACTGTACTGGCTTTTTCCTATGGGAACCAACTATTTAATTACTTTCGGTCTCCAGATATCTTAATAATTTAAGAACAACTCTTCCAGAGTCGTAAGGTGATTTTCAGGAAACTTCAAACACTTTATAATAAAAAATATATTGAATACAAAAAAAACTCGATAAAAGTGTAATACAACAAATTAATTTCGAAAAAAAAAACCAGTACATAGGGATCGGGGAATAGTTGGGAACGAAGCGTAGTGGGGACGGGGCCATAGTGGATACAGGGAGGTTACAAGTTTAAGGAATTTTTAAATCTGAGAGTGACAAAATCACTATCGAATAAACGCTTCGATGTAAATCAATAGTTTGTATTTTCAAGCCAGTACAGTCCTAACCAAGCACAGTGTAAACCAGCAAAGTAAGCAAATATTAAATTGAGGTGCTGTGTATACAAATAAGCATCAAAGCGTTTATTTAAAAGTGATTTTATTCCAGAGGACTTGTACAGTAGAGTATATGCATAATAGAATGAATGCATAGAGGCGATGGAGAGCTCTACAGGAATTGCTATAAATTAAAGTGAATAAAATCACTAGGGATACAAATTTTGTTTTACCCCTCATCTATATAATAGCCAAGTTGGACCAAGTTTTTATTAGGCCAGTTCAAATAGAAATCGTTTGTAACCTTCTATTAACCATAGTTTTAATAAGACCATCTTTGAATTTTTGGAAGAGTTACTAGTTTACTTATTTTTATAGCGATCACACGGTAAATCTTGTGCCCAATATATTTTGTTATTTGAACGGGTTTTTTTATAAGAAACTTATTTAACTATAATTTTCTGATTTAAAGCTCTGTATAATAATAACTTTAACATTTTTACTTATTTGGTACTAATAATATTAGGAATATTTGAAATATTGGACAATTATTTTTTACAACGCTAACCAAAATTGTTTTTTGTTTGCGAAATATTTATTTGGCGCTAGTATTTTTTAGACACATGAACGTTCTGTTATTATACAAATAAGATTGCCTTTTGCGTCATACTTTAATAAAACTGTATCAATATATTATAAATTACATTTGTTAAATAGTGTTTATTATATCCCTTTACATTTTATTCGACACATAATGTTATCCAAATTAATTAATTGTAAATGTTTTTAAAAACAACGGTCCAACTTTTACTATGGTTTAATTTAGGGACACGATAAATTTCTAATTGGATGAACTAAGTAAACAATTGACACAACTAAATATTTACAGGAACAAATTTGTATTAAGTTATTTCATCAACAAATTTACTGTACCCTAAGATATATAATAGCCAAATATTAGTTGGATCAAGTTTTTATTAAGTCAGTCCAACTAAAAAGGTTTTGTACCCTTCTATTAACCATAGTTGAAATCAGACCAACTTTGTATTTTTGGAAGAGTTACTAGTTTACTTATTTTTATTGCGATCACACGGTAAATCTTGTGCCCAATATATTTTGTTATTTGAACGGGGTTTTTTTATAAGAAACTTATTTAACTATTATTTTCTGATTTAAAGCTATGTATAATAATATATTCAACATTTTTACTTATTTGGTACTAATAATATTAGGAATATTTGGAATATTGGACAATTATTTTTTACAACGCTAACCAAAATTGTTTTTTGATTGCGAAATATTTGTTTGGCGCTAGTATTTTTTAGACACATGAACGTTCTGTTATTATTCAAATAAGATTGCCTTTTGCGTCATACTTTAATAAAACTGTATCAATATAGTATAAATTACATTTGTGAAATAGTGTTTATTATATCCCTTTACAATTTATTCGACACATAATGTCATCCAAATTAATTAATTGTAAATGGTTTTAAAAACAACAAATGTTGCTTATGTTAACAAATTCGCAAAAACAATTTTGCAAAATACATCTGGATTTTATTTTTTGGGTCGGTAATATATAAGCTTTTCGATTAGTCGTAAAAAAACATTGAAGCAGCCAGTATAACTATCATTGCAATTATTTCGTAAGTATTATACGAAATTATTTTCTTATATTTACTGGTTTTATATATTTTCTGAATTATAAATGTATTTAATGTTACGAAATAATATATTTAAATACATTAACTTAAAAAAAAAACAATTACAGACTATTTAAATGATAATTTTTCAAATTATTCGAATACATTTTTAAACAAAGAACTTTTATTTGAATAATTTGATACCTAGACGATTATTTAAATATACTTTATTAGAATGATGCAGAGCTCTGGTTATAATTACGCATAGCATAGTAAGCATAGTTCGTATCGAAGCGTTTATTTGAAAGTGATTTGATCCTAGTAAGCCAGTACAGTGGGGTCGAGGCATAATGGGATCAAAACAATAGGGACGGGGAGGCCTACAGGTCTACAGAAATTATTTTGTAATAAAAAGGGGAAAACCACTTTCAAATAAACGCTATAAACTCTTTGGTGCTAATTTTTAACGTAGTCGTTATAGTGTTAAGTTTCAACGAAAAACTGCCGATACAATGCGCCTTAGTAAATGCTAGTGTAGAGGCCCCTTATGTACTTTAAAAATAGTTTTCCAAACCTAATGTAATCGACCAGTCAAAATTTTTAGTAAATTATTCTCAATTACAAAAGTGAATGAAATGTATGTTTTAAAATGTATGTTTTAAAAGTTAGAGGTATTGAGTGGCCTATGATAAAATAATTACACTGTATATGTATATGTACTGAATTTGTATGAAAATCATTGAAGCAGTCAGTTTAACTATCGTTGCAATAGCTTAAGTAAGGTAAACTATCGAACTTTAAAAATAGTAACATTGTTTGCTTTCATCGAGTTCCTAATAGTTTCTTCTAATCAATAACGTGTTTACCTCAATACGGACAGACGTGTCTTTCTTATAGTGCTCCCGCGTGTAATCTATAAGTTTCTAAGCGACAAACCGTATCTATATCGCCTTGACATACTTAAGAAGCTTTTACACCTGTGTAGTTTCTATTAAAAACCACACTATTCAATTTAACAGTACTCTGAAACGCGTGAAACGACAAAAATATTGAACACTAGTATACATTTGTCAATAATTGTTTTTCGATATTTTCTATAATCGTGTTTTGTGGTTACGTAATCTTTGCATCAATGTAAGAAAATCACGATTTTGTACCTGCGTGTTTACAACAACACAAGTTTAAACTACACGCCAGAGCAATGTAAATAAGTAAACATAACGAAAAAAAAATAATCTCGCTTAGAGTTAAAAAAATTACATAGGCAATTCTGCAATAAATGTTTAGATTTTATTGTAAGTATACCTCCGTCTAATATAACATGTTTTAATTTGCATTATTATTTGCAGACAAAAATGAAACTTTTCTATGTGATAGTGATCTATGCGTTTTTAAATGTTGTGGCAAATGGTGGTATGTATTCCTTGTACCTTTGTATCTACTCAAGCTTAGGTTTAAAAAAACTAAACAAAATTCAATATTTAATTTTTTTACAGCTTATAATACAGAAGTTAGAAGGAACCCTGAAGGTGCAGTACATTTTTTGTTTACAAAATAATACGTTTTTAATTTTTAAGACTTAACAGTTTTTATACATAATTTATTACAGATAAACTCACTGACGTACATATTGATACAGGTTAGGTTAAGACATACTTAAAATAACGTTTTTACCTCAATACGTACAGACGTGTCCTTCTTAAAGTGCTCCCGCGTGTAATCTATACGTTTTTAAGTGACAAACCGTATCTATATCGCCTTGACATACTTAAGAAGCTTTTACACCTGTGTAGTGTGCAGTTTCTATCGAAAACAACCCTATTCAATTTAACCGTACTTTGAAACGCATGAAACGACAAAAATTCATTAATGAACTTTTTTACAGAAAATGTAGAAGATAGAAAGAACCTTGAAACTACAAGTCAGTACATTTTTTGTTTACAAAATACTTTTTTTAAGTTTTAAGACTATACAATTTTTATACATAATTTATTACAGACGAACTCATTCGCACATTGGTTGATAGAAGTAAGACATACTTAAAATGATTAATACTATAAATTTAATTGTTTAGTTGTACTTGGCACTTGCCTGACTATAAGGTTATTTATATTTATGAACTATAATCTCTATAAAAAATGTATTCAATTATTGGCTGTTGTGTGTATTGTATTTTTAAAAAATGGTTATTACCGAAAAACTCTAGGAATTATCAATAGTGGTGAAGTCGAGGTTTGTTGAGGATAATAAGCTCAAAAAACGCAACTTTTGTTGACAATATTTCTCAAAAGAGTCTCAAAAGATTCTACACGAACAATATGATTATATATTAATTTAGTTTGTAAAATATTATTGATAATCTAGAATAGATATTATAGAATAATTGTGTAATAAAATTCCAACACGGCTTATCACTAGTAAAATGGGTCACGTTTAACTCAAAATGTATTTGTATTCCAGCAGTCCCCAACCTGGGGGTAATTACCCCTCAAGGAGTAAAACACGATTTTTTTGAGGAATAAAGACTATACTTTTTATTTTTATTTTATGTACTTTATATCTATTATTATTATTAACTTTGAATCAGTCGTGTATACATGGGAATACATGTGTATTACCTAATCTTATGTCCTAATGACACTGATAATTTTATTACCTTCAAATATTTTCAATATTTTTACTTAACTTTTTTTTGGGAGGGAGGGGTATTTGTCAATATCTATCCTGATTTATGGGTAATAGTCTCAAAAAGGTTGGAAACCGCTGTTCTATTCAGAACATTTTTATAAATATTATTACGCATTAAAATTTTATTTTATTTTTCTTAACTCAATCAATTATTTGTTTATTTTAGAGACCGCGGGGTTCAACATAAAAAATTTTGCTTGGCAACATAGATTATCGATGAGTAATTATTATTCTATAACAAAACCGATTAAGTATGCTAGTAGAAGAAATGTTTTGGAAATAATACAATAATTATTGCAAAAAAAATTTACCAATGCAATTTTATGAGTGTTATAAATATTAAATTTGTATCACTAAATATTCATTTGTAAATGTAAATTCATTATTATTATGAAACATGCATTTTCTACCTTGACTTCCTCTTTTAAATTTATAACTAAACTTAAAATTAAGTCTAATATCATTTAAAAATACATTTTTTGTAATCATCATTTCAGAGCATTTGACTTTTATGTTTGCGATACCTGGTAATAATTGCAAATATTTCGATATAGTTGTTGGTTATTGTTATGTATAAAATAATTTCGTTTTAATTTCAGAACAAGATTGTGATAACAACTCCTTTCTCCGTAATTCATTTTTAATATTCATAGTACATATCACACGGTTTTTACATTAGTTTTTAAGTTATAAGAAAAATCATATGCATATTAATTTTGCTATAACAATTGAAATATATAAAAATGAATTTTGTTTTTAATTTTAGAGTACATAATGGAGCTATATCTGCAACAAAAATTAATCGAACACTTAGGTATTTATAAAATTCAATATATTTTCACAATCACTTTACAAAACTAATAGATAAATATTAATTGTACTTTATTATATTTGGATTGAAATTATAGTCATAAACTAAATATTTTTCGCTTAGTGTTAATGATCGTTTGATATCATTCCGATCATTTCGTTTACTCAAATGTGGCTACTAAAAACTATATACATATCTTATTGAACATTTCAATAAGGTGCTTTCATATTAAAAAATTGTAAGAATGTGCGTAATCTTAAGCTTGTCACTCCTGGTACACTTCTCGTTAGTTAATCGTTGAAATTCACACTGAATAAACAAGTGTACACAAGTGAATATATGAAATGAAATGAAAAAAAAAAAAAAAAAAAAAAAAAATAATGTTAAAAACGTAAAACTTTATCGACCGCTGCAACCATTAGTCCCTTTCTTATTAGATAATACATTTACATGTTTTACACATAGGACTAGTAACTGTTCTTAATAAAATAACATTCTAGCGTGGAGTGTATGGGTAAGATTGGCTTTTTAATAATTTATTATTCTAAAAAAATTAGTTTTTAATAGGTTAAGCTGTTCTGACAGTATGCGTCTCATATAATTACCATCCGCTACAGCTGCTGAGCAATGTATAGCAAACTTAACGTATGGTAACCCTGGTACTGTGGCCGGCGGCACGTATTCAGTAGCTGAAGTCAAAGCACGCTATGTGGTGGCGGCGACAATGTAAACGTGTGTTTTATAGTACCCTGGTACCCATTATTACTATTCAATCACTAAATCTCTATCTTTATGTTCCACGCAAATTTAGGAATGACCCCCAGCCAAACTTTAATTTCCATGTTACTACTGAATTTGGCACCTTATATTATTGAATTTATTATTCATTTTTATTTTGAACGTTATGAATACTTATTTTCAATAACCGTACAATTAATGCAAATTTATATGTTTTTTGTTACAGGCCATTTTGCCGTTAAGCATACACCTGTTGGTAATTACGCTTTATTCGACAGTCGTAAATAGCGCTTAAAATCTAGACGGTCATTTAAAATTTATTTTAAGTCAATCCAGGTTCCGTACGTAATGAGAATAAACTGTTAAAATGAAAACGTTCAATTTATATGTTGACAGTAAACTAAACATAATATAATACAAATATTAGTTCAACAACTGTACGTTCATTTAAACGCTTATACTTTAACGTTTAAAAGACTTTTACCTCCAACTGAACGCAAAAAAATGATACTTACATTACATTTTTAAACTTATAACGTTACACGTTTTAACTTCAAAACCCGCTACCCTGAACTGAATCTTAAACGTTTATTTGCAAAAATTTAATTAACAAATAATTTTTATACGTACAGTTCAGTTTAACCGGTTTTGATGTGTTTTAACTTCAAAAACCGTTTAACTGAACTGTACGTATAAAAATGATATGTTCATCAAATGTTTTGCTTATAAACTTTTAGATTCGTTAATTTAAATAATATTTTTTTGAACCTTATTTGCATTCATACAACATGTTTATTTATCGATACATATTTTACCTTATCGATACCTTTTTTTTTAAATAGACACCATATAAATTATAAACGTATAATTCCAATAAAAACATGTTTTAACGATTTGTGTGTTTGTTTAATGTGTGTTTTTCGAATAATGTAATTTGTAATTTTGAAATTGCGCCGTGTTTACTGAGGTTACAAAATTGTCATAATAAATATACTTTACAAAATTATTTATACTTTGTTTAACACATTAATTGAATTTTTCAGTTAAAGGTCTTGACAGTATGGATGACCTGGGAGCTAAGCGAAGAGATCTGTTGCTTAAACCATTAGGCGATTTAATAACGAATATTATAAATCGTAAATAATAAACTAATAAAAAAACTAGTAGTAACATGGAAAAAATACATATGTGGACTAACAAAGATTACAATTAGCACATTACATTTATAGTTGAAATAACTGTTAGACTTTGAGTATTTAGTGGATTTCGTCAAAATAAGAATTAACACAAGTTTATTACAAATGATATTTCACCACGATTAATACAATTTATTTATAATTAAAGACTTATTATTCACAGTTAGCTTAAAGTATTAGCCAGAAACTTGATATGTTTACTAGCCACCTTAGATACATAAAATGTACCCCGTGGTGTTGCGGACTCGTACGCAAGCTATATACATCGTTATTTATCGTTATATTTCGTTATTTTTGACGTTGATTAGAATATTTACAATCTATACTAAATTATGTACAATAAGTAAATTTGATGGAAGAAACAATAACAGCTACAGGGTGGCGAGGAGAAAGCTCACATTACAGCCACCTATCTAATGTGAGTTGATAGGTGTGAAGTGTGTGGGGCTTATAGGTTTAGGAAGAAGAAGTTAGTAATTATTAATTTATTGACAAATAATTTAATTTTTCTCTCTCCTGTAAAATTTACATTTTGTAACTCAATACACTTTTGCTTTTGGGCGAGGATATAAGATTAGCCTTAATTTTAGTTTGTCCAACTATGTATTTTTTTGTCTGTGCAGCAAGCTAAATTTGACTAATTTTTGAACATTTTTTTTTAGAACCAAAGAACCATCATGTTGAATTTATCCACATATGTCGAATCATAGGATTGTTCATGAGTGTACAAGATCCAAAAGAATACGCAACAAATGCTGCTATTTCACTCGACCATACTTGTGTTATAAGTCATGGAGAGACAGTCATAAAGTCATGCAAATACGTTGGGACTAATTTACATAATGTAGATAACGAAAACCATATGTCGGTAGGGAAAAGCATAACTCTTGAGTTATAATATATAATTTAAATAAATAATTTCTATACTCTCGGGTTTAGTTTAATAAATAATACATAAAATATGAAGTACTTATGTTATTATATTTTTTAAATATTTTTTGTGTGCCACAGTAATGTCAAAATTGTCAAATAATTAAATGTACTGCATAATAAAAAGTTTTTGCCTGCTATTGTAAATTATTTCATTACTTTCAGTCATAATTTGTATTGGTTTAATATACAGGACATTTAGGTCCTTTGTCGGGACCACTACTCCTCTCCATCCATCCCGTCTGTCGACATAGCTTCACCATTAATTAATCTTAG